CAGCGACCATCTCCAGTAGGGTTTTTCTTTGACACTTTGCCCACTTATCTGTGATTACAGACCTGTGCTGGTCCTCCCTTTGCTTGTTTGGTCCTTCACCCATCAAGTGTGCCCATCTATCATGGGACCAAGCTTTCCTGTACGCATCCAGCATGTAGCACAGCACACGCCAGCACTGGCTGCGGTGCTGAGGGCTATTTTACAGTACACGGGATAATTAACAGTAAGAATCATGCAGCTAGAAATCAGAGACATGCAGTATGAGGCATTTAGTGATAAAAAAAAAAAGCCTGACTGGGCTTTCTCACACACACATGCTTTTTTTCTAGGACCATACTCAATTTCATAAGCTCTCTCTCCCTGTATCCATAGGAATCATTGCTGCTATAAGCAATATCAATTGCGGAGTGCATCCCTAATTCTTTGCAAGAGACTGGCAAAGTGAAGTCCTGGCAATGCTGAAGCAAATGGCAAAATCTCCACTGATTCCCACAAAATCAGGGTCTCACTCCCCCTCTGAACTATACTGCACATCTCCCACCTGTCCCTAGCACTACCTAGGAAAAATTTAATATGAAATATTGGGCCACATGTCAGCCACAGATACTGGAAGCGTATGGTATGCTGCAGAAAGGCCCAGAGTTTTGTGCTCACATCTGTGAAGCAAGGGAGAAAATGCAGATTTTTCTCCAAGCTCCTTACTATGCCTGAAGTCCATATGCTCTTCAGCTTAAAGATGTGTCCTAACGGTCCGTTGCTGGAATTTTCCAGCATTATCTCTCTGTTCATGTATCAATATGTGTCCAGACAATTTCTTTGGGCCACACGGCCATTACGTTAAGAAGCAAGAAGCTGATAACGCCAGCAAGCAAGGAGGCCAGTGCGCTGACCCTTCCCGAAACAGGCATTGTTTCACGGGGCGATAAGAGTCTTCCACCTCCATGGGTGGGCCTCTGGAGTGACCAATGAGCATGGACAGGCGCCAGGGTCCGCTCTCCCCTTCCCCTTTATAACCAGGGCTGCCAGGGCAAGGGGTCCAAACCTCCTCTGAGTGTTCGTTGCAAGGAGCCTGAGCCTGCACCCTCCTGCACAATGACGCTGACTCAAGCCGAGAAGGCCGCCGTGGTCACCATCTGGGCAAAGGTGGCTACCCAAGCCGATGCCATTGGGGCAGAATCATTGGAGAGGTAAGTCCCCCAGAACCCCTCCGAAGAGGGTGCCTCCTCTGGCTTTGCTGTTAGGATGCATCTCATGTAAAACTTGCATGAGTGAAAGCACGCTGGGACTGGTGAGGGTAGATGGATGACCTCTATGTTGTTTGGTATGTAATTTTCTGGAATGATATCTGTGCTACTAAATGCTAATAGATGGCTTCAACATCTTACAGCAAAACATAATTTTCTAAGCAATTCTAATGGTTTATTTCCCATAATAGCAATTCAGAATTCATAGCCAGGAGCCCTGGTGAGGAATTCAAAAAGTCATTCACACTCAGTGTCCTGAAATAGGGTTATCACTGTCAGGAAATGAAGTTGAAGTGGTTTATTGTACGAGTGATGCAATTTCTGTATAAGTGATGCAATTTCTCTCGCAATTTCTAGGCATTAAGAGAATAGCTGTCCGCTAAATTCACTGGATACTCATGTTTCATTGTTCCAGTTCATAAGTAACAAACTGTTAGGAAACAAGACAACTGGACCCCCTGCAGGAAGTATAGCACAGTAATCCAAAGTTCATACAAATTAAGCAAGCTGGCACAAAAGGGATAACAGCCTGGAAACTGTTCAGAAATTATTCTGTTATTCAAAGTTATTTAAATGTTATTTACAGCTCAATATAAAGTATTGTGATACTCCTTGCAGGACTCTGAGTACCACTCATCAATGCTGGTTTGTTCAGCTCGTATTAGTTTGAAGGTCCTGCAAACTGGCTTACAATGTAATATAGGAAATGTAGTGACAATTTGGGGCTAGTCTTTATTTTAAAATACCCCAAAACTCCAGAAAAATACATTAAGTTTAAAATTATTTTTAACATTTCGTTCTTTTCTAGTACGTACAGACTAGCCCGCTGTCTAATCTGCACATACTGCAGAAGAGGTTTAAGAGCAGAAAGACCCTGATGCAAGCTTCAGGATCCGAAAGCTCTGTTACAACTGCTCAAGGAGTGTACTGTAGCTGGCAGGTTTACACTGCACTTGCTCTGAGGTTTTACCATCTCATGCATGTCACTTCCACTGCTGAATCTCATTCTCATGTCCTCCTCCAGGCTTTTCTCCAGCTACCCCCAGACGAAAACCTACTTCCCTCACTTTGATCTCAGCCAAGGCTCAGCTCAGCTTCGTGGTCATGGCTCCAAGGTCATGAATGCCATCGGCGAAGCTGTGAAGCACATTGATGACATTAGAGGCGCTTTGGCCAAACTCAGCGAGCTGCATGCTTACATCCTCAGGGTGGACCCAGTGAACTTCAAGGTGAGTGAGCACAGAGATGAAAACTGCCATCACAGAATTAGTGACCACGGATAATTTTGGCTAATGGCAGCTTGATCCCTGACTGCACTGCACAGCCTTGTCAACTCATGTCGCTGCTTGTTCCCCACCTGATTTTTAACCTGAGATTGGATCTTTTAATGAAAGACCTGGTCTAGCTCGAGCAAAGAACTGCTCAGGGGGCTCCTATGGTTTGTGTTAGACAGACTTGAGCCTCCGCTGCCTTTGTTGTAATTTATTAACCTCCCTTACAAGTCAAGTTATATCACCTAGTAAATTCTAAACATTTCCAGTTTGTTGCATTTCCCTTTGGGGAGGAAGGAAGGGACATTTGGAAGGAGGGAGTAGTATCGAGCAGTGCCTTTTGCCCTATACCAAAGGCAACTCTGCTTCTTCACACATAGAAGGCAGCAGCGCTACCTGGTTGGGACACGTAGTTGTCATCCCAGAGCACACTGGGACCAAGGTCCATTGCAGACCCCTAGACTGACATCTGTTACTGATTACAATGGATTTCCTCCTGTTTTCCTTTACAGCTGCTTTCCCACTGTATCCTGTGCTCCGTGGCTGCCCGCTATCCCAGTGACTTCACCCCAGAAGTTCATGCCGCGTGGGACAAGTTCCTGTCCAGTGTTTCCTCCGTTCTGACCGAGAAGTACAGATAAATGGCCTCCACAGAGGGTGGGGGATGCACATCCATGGTGCACCCCAGCTGCCAGGCTCTGGGGTATTCACCCCTTCCTATGCAGTCCTCTCAAATCCCCTATGCAGGGGCTTGGTCATCTGCAAAACCCAATAAATAATTCAAATGTGAGCTATGGTCTCTGTGCTTTCATCTCCATGTGTTCCACCTACACCTTACTGCTCAGGCAGGGGTGTTCTGAAAGGTCTGTGCAATGTGGAGGGGAAAACACTAAGCTGTGTAAATTCATGTACTAATTCAGGTGCTAATGAATTCATGTACTAATTCACGTGCTAAGCTGTGTAAATTCAGCGGGAATAACATAACATAATATTCGGTGGGAATAACATAACACTGAGCAGAAGCCCAGAACAGGCTAGAGCCCTTGTGACTGCTACTGCTCACCAAAGGTGTATCCGCCAAAGACTGTTTCCAGGCTGACCAGGAAGCAGTCTTTCACCCTGCTAGGATATTGAATGGACCCAGGCTTTTTGTTTGGCCTATCCAAAACCCATCACAGCCTGTTGTGAACAAAACCTGCATTGCCATATGTTGTGATGTGCCCGGAGCGATGCTGGGCATTGTCTTCTCATGCTCCTCTCCGTGGGGTATGGACAAGGTATCCGATGTGCTTCATGAACACCTTGGGCTATCACACCTGCTAGACAGGTTTGGTAAAGGGACCGTCCCCTCCGCTTGACATCTGTTATTTTTATACGGAGAATTTTACATGCATTTGAAATTTGGGAATACTGGTGGCCACTGGAGATCAGTGTTGATGGCATCTGGGGGACCACAAATTCCTGGGGGTTTTCTGGAAAGCAGCGACAGGGAAGAGTACAGAACTGATGGTCACCCTGGGGGGAGCGCAGGGATCCTCCATACGTACCTGTTGTGGGTTAACCCCAGTGGGCAGCTAAGCACTACACAGTCGCTCACTCACTGCCCCCCCTCAATGGGATGAGGGGAAGAGGAAAGGAAGAATAAAAGCAAGAAAACTTGGGGGGTCAAGATCAAACAAACAAACAGAAATAATTGTTTAATAAGTGAAGGATAAGTGGAAGAAGAGGGAAGAAAACAAAACAAAACAGGTGATGCAAAGGCAATCACTCACCACCTCCCGTGGGTAGACCGATGCCCAGCCAGTTCCTGAGCAAAAAAGATGGGTAACCACCATAAAACTCCCTAAACCCCCCTCTTTTCCCTTTTATTGCTGAGCATGGCGTTGCATGGTATGAAATACCTCTTTGGTTAGTTGGGGTCATCTGCCCAGTTGTGTCCCATCCCAGCGTATCGTGCACCTCAAAATCTATTCCCTGAGGGGGCAGTGTGAGGTGCAGAGACAGCCCTGATGCTGCGCAAACACTGCCCAGCAGAAGCCAGAACATCAGCGTGTTATCAGGGCTGGCTTGGTCAAAAATCTAAAACACAGCACCATGTGAGCTGCTGTGAAGAAAATGATTTATCAGGTTACATTCACTGTCCATGCCTGTCTCATAAGACTTCTGACATTAAAAGGTGGGTGCAAAGTCTTAAGAACACTCTGATCGACAACCTGAACTGGCACTGCAAGCTGTGATCCTCATCTCATTTACAAAATTTAGGGATTGTGTTTGGGCAAGGGGGAAAGAGACGGTGCGGAACCTCTGACGCCACCAAGTTGCTCTAAACGTGTCACACGGTGTACCACAGCAGTTTTTAAAACATTCTACATTTGTGGGTCTCAGGTAACCTGAACATTTAAATCCACAACTTACATGGTAGGTCAGCATCTATGGTACAATAATTTGTACCAATGACTTCGTACAGAGGCTGAGCGAAGGATGTGACAGCCACCAACCACCACATGCCCTGCGGGATGTCCCAGCGTTTACAGGGAGAAGCAGGAGCACACACCGGGGTGGGAAGAAAGGAAGAAGCCCAGGCCTGACAAGCATCACAGGAGGGACTTTGGGAAGACCATGCGCCCAAAAAAGAGGTTCTTCCCCGCCCAGGTTTCTCCAGGCTGCTGGAGAGATGGTGTTTCTCACGGCAGATCCCCAGCACGACCCGGGAGGGCTTGTCCATGGCTCCTGCTCAGAGGCCCAGGGCCTCTTCAGGTAGAGAGGGGCTGGATGTGCCGGAGGCTGGAGGACATGAGGGGCCAGGGGCACGTGTGAGACCCACCCTGACTCC